TGATGGTAGGGCATAAAAGAAGGAGCGAATGCTCAGCTCTTCAATTCGTGATTAGATAGCGTTTTGGCTACTCTATTAATAAAAACTATACTAAACTTTTAGAACAGCCTTATTCCTGTGTGACCGGAAGTAGTATAGGACTACCACACAATAATACCTCCAGGTGTAATGGAGATAGGAATAAGTAATCTATTAGTTTAAGGTAGTAATTCGCAATTTAAATTTATGGCACTACCGTATACAATAAATTTTTTTTCGACTAAATTATTGGAGTAATTATCTGCATGCCAACCAACTTTGCTACCGTTCACTCATCCAACCTTGCATTACAAAAGCAATGCTTTATTTCAAACTAAACAAATTTAATACTGGAATGGCATATTATGCCAAATGTGAACTGCTCCAGCCTATCAAATTGCAATATTAGTTATGGTATGAACTGATACAATGATAGTTATATATTTAACATACGTAGTTAGGATCAATAGACAAAATTCGGCCATCATATATTAGGCCCCATGCTACTCATCGCCTGTATGTAAAGACATGAGTAATTCTAACTATGTAACGTCTGTAGTTGTAAAATGTATAGAGTAACGTGCAATATGGTTGTGGTACCAGCGCACCTTGTAATTGCAATGTAACTTCGTGATGTTCGTGATGTGTTCATTCTTTTCGGAATAGATTATAGTACAATGTGGCGGAGGGGGTATCGCACCATTACGGTGTACAGAGATACGGTATATAAAGTCAGGTACAACTTACAAAAATCGTTTCTTGCCTTCACACGAGAATATAGTAGTCTATGTGTTAAGGCATATTACTCGTCACAGAGCAGTTCATAACAAACTACATGTAGCAGAAATACGTTTACGCATTCGAGTAAAAACTACGCTACGATACACACATCTTGATGAAATGAAATGGGTGCGTTTCATATACTAGATAAAACTTTCCAACAGTAAAAATTGCAGTGAAGAGGTTTATCGCCAACAGGATCCAACCTATTGCAGTCATTCCGTTTCGGAATGTTTGCGCAACATTCATCCTACTCGAGCAGAAATAGTCTCGTATTATCTCCATAAATGCGCTTATCGCCATTATGGATTCGCAGCAAATGGAGATAATAGAACCTTTAGGACTAATAAGAACGGTGAGTTAGAGTATGCTTTTAAAAACTATGAAGAAAGTCACTACATAATAGATTTAATGTACTTTGCGAGAGACAACCGAGTTGTTACTGTTCCTAAAGGCCAAAAATTTCTCATGAATTATGGGAAATCATTCCTCGAAGGCACCGATAAATTTACTTTCGAAGAAGTATATGATATTTATGGAAATCAAATACATGTCTAAGATTATGAATAATTTTTGTATTAATTTAGATATCTAATATGAGTTAACTTCATGAACTATTATGACTTATACAAGATAGTTGCTGCCGAAAGGTATTCAAGCTAGGCAGTTAGCCGAATAAAAGAAGAGTTCTATAGATGTTTTAACATAGAAGCAAAAGCGTCTAAATTCTTTTGAGGTAGTTCAGGGATACTCAATCTCGGAGACTAAGTAATTTAGAGATTTGCTTTACGTTATCTTTATCACGAATCTTGTTTATGACACCACGAAATCCTGCGTAGCCGGGCTTTTAGCACAAAAATGTTCAATATCTATTACTGAACGCACAGATTTCTATATAGCGTTTACCATATTCTTTACAAAATATACAATCCGCGTAAACGAATATTTTCGCTCAAATTTGAAACTGATCGCGGAAGTGTTTAGACGAGGTGCTAGAGAACATGATTTAGTGTCTAGCTAATCCCTGCAGCAGTGATGTAAGCTGCCGAGGATGGAGTCTATGCTTCTTCAGAATGCAGCCATGAGGATTG